CTTTTAGTGAAATGTGTAATATTCGATGTTAAAAGCGACGGTTTCGTTATATTCATTTTTGATATAAAATTTTATTATTACATATTCTATAGAATATACAGATTTACATAACTTGAAGAACGTGTAAAGTTTTTAAAAAAATAATGATTTTCAATTAATTTTGATTGTTGGGGGCGGGACGAAGGATTTGATATACGAATTGCGCATTAAAATGGATAAACAATGTATTATATTCCTTCTACAAGTTAGTTCCGATTGGATAACAGACGAAAATTATTTAGATCAGTTGTTTGGTATGCTCTTGAATCAAGAATGTTTCTTCTTTGATGAGATTGCAGTACAGTTAATATACCATGTCTATATATTATACAATATGGTATACCTGTACTTTAGCCTTTTTCATCCTGTTTGATGTAATTACATGTTACCCTTTGAAGTTTGTTACAAAACACATCTTAAGAAAAATTGGCTAGTTATATATTGTATTTTAATTCATGCACAGACTCAAAAACACAAGGTTTTCATTGCTATATAGTTAGACACTGAGCAAAAGCACCTTTATTAATGCACCGGTTGGAGCAGACTTTGACATTTATCTTTTGTATGTATATTTCCTGTGTTGAGAAAGTTGTTTTGGCTTTGTACTGAGTTAAAAGTACGCACCATCATATATGGCTGTTACCAGTATAGAAATTAATTAAAGGTATATTTTACAATGTGCGTAGCTGTGGTACATGTGATAAGTATTTTACAATGTGCGTAGCTGTGGTACATGTGATAAGTATTTTACAATGTGCGTAGCTGTGGTACATGTGATAAGTATTTTACAATGTGCGTAGCTGTGGTACATGTGATAAGTATTTTACAATGTGCGTAGCTGTGGTACATGTGATAAGTATTTTACAATGTGCGTAGCTGTGGTACATGTGATAAGTATAGGTCTGAATTTGGTACTGAATTGTTTTCCTTTACCTGAACAAGAATACAGTGTCTTCTCCTTTATAATCATGTTTTAAAATTAATTAAACTTTGGTTAAAGATTTTTAAACAATTGAAATATCATGGGAATGAATCCCAAACTAATGTAAATACATAGATAAATCTGTACACTCGAGTTTTCTATTAAAAAGGCGAAACTCTGTACAGTAAGGTTTCTTTTACCATACGTCAAGTAAGTTTCTGCATAGCCACAGTTTCTTTAATTCTGATTTTTAAAGACAAATAATGGCTTTTAATTTAAGCATACCACATACACATACATAATTTAAGATTAAACATATTGCTTATTATATATATACATGTGTATAAACGTTTGTTAGAAAGTTTTCTGAAGATCATATATGCTTTGTTAACAGTATGGAATGTGCTGTGGACATTCCATATCAAAAACTATCGTGCACAGGGGCGGAGTCAGAAATTTTTTAGGGAGAGGGAAAAGGGGGGGGGGGGGACATTACCAAACGTTAAAAACGGTCATGAAAGAGTAACAAATAAAAAAAAACCATGGTTTACAAAATTGATTCCAATCTTATTTTGTTTTCATGTCTGCGAGCAAAGGTGTAAACAAGCTCATGAAAATTTTAGTGTACATCATTATGCGCGTAAAAACCCAAAGGGTTTATTGGGATGTAGAAAAATAGAAAAAAAATATTCATCCTTTGTTTTTCTTCCTACCGACAGTTAAACGCTTATTAAAGTGGGGCGTCCGTTTGGCTGCGCGGAATGCATAAATTCGCAACCACGTCCGGTCAGAATTTGGACGTTTAATCCTATGCCTCGTGTACGAGAGAGACCTGCCAATCTGAAAAATCCTTGCAACATATCTTATATGGGAATCCGTAGGTGGCCTGTTGCGCGACTAAATTTCTGTCCCTGACCAATTTACCCTTATTTTCTAGTCGGACTATCCAAATTGCCCTATACCTATTGTTTTATTGTCGATTTGTTTTCATACTGAACAAGCATGAAATATTTGCCACCGGCCGCTATGAAAACAACAATCAATCAATCACAATGCACGTGCATCAATGCTAATCCATTAAGTCATTTCTGTTCTAATTTATAAGTAAAAATTTACCCAGGAACCAGAGCTTCTTATTTGAACGCTGACATTCTCAACTGCATGGCTACACATATTATGCAGACTATTTTAAGATTCCATATATATGATCCTGTCCATAATATGATAGTATTATATTAGGATCTAGTTTTTCTTTTTTCCAATCATATTGTGCTTAATATTGTTGTAAATGATGCCCTTTATGGGTTCTTGATTAGATTAATAAAATTCTTATCTTATCTTATCTTATCTTATGCTCTGCTGTATATAATACATTGGTTCGTATTCACACCATGCCTTCATATGTCAGCGTTATTGTCTAATATTACCTGTACACATACAGTTTGTACCTAGGCAGTGATATAGTTATATGACATTATCTACGATCCATGCACTTGTTGATAATCAATAGCCTGGTTTTTGATAGTTGGCATGATTCAAATGCTAAATGTCAATTTTATTATATTATGTATATTTGTGCTAATGCTAAAATTACAATTTCCCAGAACAAATTTGATCTAAACTGGTTGTTTGGCTTTTCAGTTTATGCTCTTGTGGTTTTGTGCTCTTCAACATTTTATAGTTTCGGCAGCCAGATTTGGGGTTTTTTGCACGATAAAGTCTTGAACTTGATGATTATTGCAATTTATATACTGCATTTATGATAAAGACATCGATTACATATTTTACACGGTCAGACAATTATGTAAATTAATATATAATACTTATATACATATATTAAGCGAAGGACATTTGCATAAACTTACATTATGAATAATTTATATTTCGAATATAATATTATATATATCACCATCATATAGAATGTTAACCAAATTTCTTCAGATAACTCCTGGTACAAATTTTCACTAGACTAGAAAATGATTAGACCAATAATTAGTCTATCATGAATGAAAAAAGTTAACAAACTTTCATTTCAACTTATACTATAAGTAATGTTACTAGTAAAGTAAAATGTACCAATACAACATATATGTGTTGTGTGTGTATTTCTTTGTATGTGTGGGTGTAGCAGCTTTCAAATGAAAATAAAAAAAAACAGAATATCACAGATAAAGAGTGTGTGTGTTTCGTAATAAGACATTTCCTATAAATTGACACTTTTTGGGAAGTCCATTTAGAATTAGGATACATGACATAACTTTTGTATCACCAATTCCCTATTATTTTTGGGTTAGCAATATATCATGCATCTGCACTAAAACATTTCATTTCTGTAATTGGTGTTGTTACAACTCGCAAACATTACGTGTGTGTCTGGCCAAACTTTAGGCCAAGAGTATATATCTTATGAAACTTGTTCCAAAACACGTGCTTGCGCAAGGAAATCCATCTACATGTATGTAGAATTTATAATTTGGTCAGTGCTGATGATTTTTAGTTCCAAAGAGAACCATCCACCAAGTAACCAGTGATCCGTGTTTAGTAGAGTTCCGTGATAGCTGTTGTTTCAATGTTGGAAGTTGAAAAAGTCGTATCACGTGATATTTTTCTGTGCATCTGCAGACCTAGATTTTCACATATGCGAAATAAGCTAATGAAATGATTTTAGAATATTGAAATCGACCACACTTTTCTATTTTGAGTCCCTCACTCTGATTTTAACTCAGTTGTAGTAAGGTGTCATTACCCATAAGTTTATATCTTTATGCTACGACGTTGTGTTGATCTCAACATTGCATAAACTTCTGACGTTATACTTGATTCTTTCATACTTTGGAGTGCTAATATATATGAATAATCTTTATTGTGCTAAAGCTATAAGTTTGGAACTCTGTCAGGGTTAAGAGACATGTCTAACCCTAAACATATACCTTGTATGTCCACAGTTGTCACCTGACCATTACACTAGGCACGGAGTGTGTTCAAATTATATATTTAAGGATGTTATGTCTAACCCTAAACATATACCTTGTATGTCCACAGTTGTCACCTGACCATTACACTAGGCACGGAGTGTGTTCATATTATATATTTAAGGATGTTCGCTATTCTGTTTCAAAATAACAAGCTTTAAAAAAAACTGTTATAAATTAAAATTTATTGATAGTACATAAATAAAGAAACTCAAAAAGCAGAACTAAATCAAGGGTCCGTGAGCTTGTTATCGAGATATAAGCCATTGAAAATTTGGCGGGAAATGATTATCTCTAGATTGTTCATACATTAAACATTGACACCTTTTTTTCTTCAAAAAATATGAAAAAATAACAAGAATTTTATAAGATTTTGAAATATTGCTTTTTAAAACTATATGTAATAATATTATGAAAAGAAAAGTAAGGGTTAGCGGGCAATTTTTTTTTTAAATCGCACTACACGGATAAAACCAGAGGATTCCGAATATCTGGCAAAAATTCAAAAACAAGAGAACCGAACATCCTTAAGGAGCTCCTGAAATATTTCATTATAACTAAATCATTTCAATTTCGTTCTTCTGTAATTCACTCGGTTTAACATAACACAATGTAACAGCTGGATCAGCTGGGACAGTACGCATCGATATAATGTAACATTTCGTAATTTCTTACTAGAAAACTGATCAAGAACTTGATGGAGCTAACATATTTCAAGCAAAAGAATATTATGTTTCTTTGAACAGCATGTGTATTGTAACACACTGCTCGATATAAACCTCAGGTAACCAGATTGACTAACTGTTATAAGACCTTAAATTTATACAAATTTATGAAAATCTCCTTTTATCAACGATGCATATTTGGACATAAGCCATAAATAATTGAGAAAACATGGATTAAAGTACGGCTCTAAGCGATATTTTGAGGTCCTTTTTACAACACGTGGAATGAAGTTATGCCAATGTTTGCCCTTGATAAAAGGACATACCGAAATAATATAACTTCAAAATAATTTTATTGTAATGTTATGCAACTGACAATCATTTATTATAGCATAATCAATAGAATGCAGATAAAGTGTTTTTGTGTGCAGATTTATTGAGAATATATATGTCATCTGCTCAACCAGAAATGATTAGGACCTAGAGGTACGGCAATAAAATGTCTTTACCTGTCATTATGCATGAAGAAATAACAATTTATCATTAATCAGATGTGAAGCTTGTTACATATTTGACCGTTCTACAACATTAGGATCTATACAAGGACAAGCAAGTGATACTGTCGGGATATTACATTGAGAGAAGGAAGAAAAAAACTTGATATTTATATATGTACACCTGCATTGATTGTTCGCTTGCAATTGGACAGGGAAGAAAAATAAATCAAAAACTGTGGATTAGGCAAGCCGAATGTAATTGTGACCAATCGCGGCAGTTGAATAAAAATAAATATTTAATCGGATAAATAGCAATATCGCTTGATATAAAAGACATTTTGTGTATTTAAGAATTTTACCTGTTTCAAAATGGAACGAGGGCTACTTGAACGGATTAGCAATGCATAAAGTATGATATTCTTTTAAGGAATATACTGTAGCAGAATAAATTGCAAATTCTCAAAGAAGAACAACTTACTGTGTCTGCAATAGACAATTACACTTCACAAAAAAGCAGAACGACGCCATAAGTGATATCTTATGATCAATGCCTCTTCCCTATGTACTCGAAAAGTGTGTTGTATCGCGTTCACTTTGTAAAATAGGACGCATAAGGTAAAGGAATTCCATCGTGAATTGACTCGTGTTGGATGAAAGTGAGGAAATCTAAAAACAAAGAAATCCACTCAAAACTAAGTGCAGTAGGAAACTGACAAACGACTTTAGTATGCTCATTATCTACTTTGACTAACTACCTAAAGGAAACTAGAAAGACCTAGTTCACTAAGTAAAATACTTACTACGTGTAATTAGACTTAATGTCGACACAGTCTATTGTGTGACCTTTTGTTATGCAGAAATAGATTTAAATTGATTCATATGCAGTTATAAAAAGAATATATATGAAACAAGGTACAATATAACGAAGGAAGAAACAAGGTACAATATAACGAAGGAAGGAAGTTTGATTATCGGACACTATAGCAGTAAAGAAATAGCATGAATAGCGATAGTCTGGATTTTCCAAGTGATCATTAAATATTCACAATTTGCAAAGAAATCCAATATTTCAAGCGACTGCCAAGTTCTGATTGGATATTGAAATTTTGTGTATATTTGGTAGAGATCTGGTGTATCGTTCTTGCTATATCAATGAAGTTTATGTAGTAAATACGATTTAAAACCACCTATACATACTCCATCAATTACTATATTATAAAACTCCATTGAGACTAATTCAGCTTAAAGTGAACCATTATTTAGTCAGCAGAACACGAGAAGATCAATCGTTCCGGCGACATAGTTCATCGCATCAATCGAGCGTTTGGAATATCCCGGCAACTGAAGGTTTGCAAAATAGCAGTCCGACTAATTACTCATGTGAGACGACAATTTGCTTAAATGCAAATGTCAAACGTCCTAACTTATTAATAGATGTAAAGTTAAATACATGTTAGAGGATTGTATCGCATCATATGTTTGTAATATTGAGGGATTTTAACTTGTATTTGTTGTTTACATGAGATGGTTCTACTTATTATTACAAGACGTAATCGGTATTCTTCATAGAAAGACAACTGTACCTAATGTGAAGCACATATGGCTTAGAAAAATATTATAGAAAGGGAAAAATAACTTTTTTTTTATCACAGTGCAAAGTGGTAGACCACATGTGAATTCAAGAAAAAGTATATCAGGATAGTTCCCGGTATTTTATATGATGGAAAGTCCATGGGAATCGCAAAGGGCAGAGGCTGAAAACGGGGAACTTTTGTCTGTTGAAGAATCGGACCATGAAGGAGAAAGACTGGTCCACAAACAACCGGTGGAGATTGTTAAAATTCATGAAGGTAAGTTAGGTCGGAGGATAAAAAACTGGAAGAATTCAATACGCTGCATTTATTAAAATCTGGTTTCTTTTTGTATGCTTCACTGAAAAAAATAAACAACGTGTAAAATTACCTATGAAAGTTACATTAAGATACACATCAAAGAGGTGACACGTAAAGAAAGGTGTTCTATTATTGATTTCATTACAATTCTGTAACATGATATAAATGTGTATTGGATTAAAACGTAAAATGTAAATGTTTAAAATGTAAACAAATCATTTGTGAACTACGGAGCCATGTTTTTGTTTATATACAGAAAATCAATACGTGTTTTAAAAGATGTATAATATTGACTGAAGGCTAACCAAGCGTAAATATCTTACATATATCTGACTATATCTTTGTGGTTATTGGATAATAGTGTTTTATTATGGCAAGTTATAGACATCTCCCACATGAATTATTATCATTATCCATTACCATCAGCCTAGTTTTACGAGAACTTAGATTTAATTTGGACGGTCCTGTATTATGACGTGGTCTTTTCATAGTTGAATTTGTAAAGTATCATTTTGTGATGAGTGTAATTAATACAATTTATACTGACACACCTCTCCACCCAAGGCATACATGTTTGATCTTCTAGTTTAATAATACATTAAGATCAATCTCCCTTTTTATCCGTGTAGATTCATATGTATACGTCGGAGTAAGTATGTGACTAAATCCAATATGCACCATCGAAAAGATTGTTACATCATTATTGTGTGAACATCGCCTCTGGGGAAACTTGACATAAGTATATATATAGATATCAATAAATTTAATAGTTTGTTAGATCTGAGGTATATATCATAAAATAACTTTGTAGAAATGAGTACAATTATAAATACTAAATCGATTATCAATACTCTCTAAAACCACTCTTTATCGTTTCTGTATTCGAATACAATTTATTGCAACTTGTAGAGCACGTATCAAGTTATTAAGTTCTTATGTTTAGCGGCAAGAATTTTAATTAGCATACGACTTTGCAAATCATTATGACAAGGACATAAATGAATATAAATTTAAACTTTTCCTATTATTATAGAAAGACAAAGGTAAATTAGAACGCCCGTTTGTACATATGCTGTGTTCAAAGATCCAGGAAGAACGAGCATCAAAATACCTACAACATGTAGCTATGTTGACACAATGACCTTAAGTTGGCCTAGATGTCTCTGAGTGTTTATAATTAATTAATCTATCATAATATTGAGATAAAGTGTATTAAACAATGATTCTTAAAGTATTATATACAAATTAGTATATTATAAGAGCTATTCTCTAAATAGTTTTTTTTTCGTTTTCCGAATTTCTGTTATTGACAAACATTCATGCACAGCGAATGCCGAGCATACTGTGCAGATTTTTAAATTGTTTTACTTTTAATACACATGGCCAAACTATTGATAGGCTAAATTGCAGGTTTAACCCGCACCAAATATTTGTATCTACCAAGTCAGACTGTCTGGACCATATGTCGTTCGTTGTTTAGTCTTTAGTCTTTATTTGTATGTCTGGTTTTTATACGACCGCAAAAAAATTTTGCGGTCGTATATTGGTACGACGTTGGCGTCGTCGTCGTCGTCCAAAGACACATTGGTTTTCGCACTCTAACTTTAGTTTAAGTGAATTGATCTCTATGAAATTTTACTATAAGGTTCAATACCACAAAAGGAAGGTTGGGATTGATTTTGGGGGTTATGGTACCAACAGTTAAGGAATTAGGGGCCAAAAAGGGGCCAAAAATAAGCATTTTTGTAACTTCCAGACATTACTTGTGTGTTAGTGTATGGATCTCTCTGACATTATACCACAAGGTTCCATATCACAAAGGGAATGCTTGGATTGATTTTGGGGGTAATTGCCCAAAATGTTTAGGAATAAGGGGCCAATAAGGGGCCAAAAATAAGCATTTTTCTAGTTTCCAGACAATAACTTGTGTTCAAGTGTATGGATCTCTCTGAAATTGTACTGCAAGGTGCCATATCACAAAGGGAAGGCTTGGATTGATTTTGGGGGTAATTGCTTAAAAATTTTAGGAATTAGGGGCCAAAAAAGGGGCAAAAAACAAGCAGTTTTCTTGTTTTATGACAATAACTTGTGTGTAAGTCTATGGATCTTTCTGAAATTATACTACAAGGTTCCATATCACAAAGTGAAAGCTGGAATTGAGTTTGCGGGTAATTGCTCAAAAAGTTTAGGAATAAGGGGCCAAAAAGGGGCCAAAAATAAGCATTTTTCTAGTTTCCAGACAATAACTTGTGTTCAAGTGTATGGATCTCTCTGAAATTGTACTGCAAGGTACCATACCACAAAGGGAAGACTGGGATTGATTTTGGGGGTAATTGCCTTAAAATTTTAGGAATTAGGGGCCAAAAAGGGGAAAAAAACAAGCATTTTTCTAGTTTCAGGACAACAACTTGTGTGTAAGTCTATGGATCTTTCTGAAATTGTACTACAAGGTTCCATATCACAAAGGGAAAGCTGGGTTTGATTTTGGGGGTAATTGCCCTAAATGGTTAGGAATTTGGGGCCAAAAAGGGGGCAAAAAAAACAAGCATTTTTCTAGTTTCCGGACAATAACTTGTGTTCAAGTGTATGGATCTCTCTGAAGTTGTACTGCAAGGTACCATACCACAAAAGGAAGGCTGGGATTGAGTTTGGGGGTGATGAATCATAAGGGGGTTCAACAAATGTGGGGGGGGGATTTTTATTTCCTTTTTTTTTCTTTAAAATTTTCCATTTTAAATTGGTTATTTCTGATTTATATATATAAGCAAATAATAATGATATGGGTTGAATAGGTAAATTACAAATTTCTAAGATCTTAGACAACATTCATTCTGTGTCAGAAACCTATGCTGTGTCAAATATTTAATCACAATCCAAATTCAGTGCTGTATCAAGCTTGAATGTTGTGTCCATACTTGCCCCAACTGTTCAGGGTTCGACCTCTGCGGTCGTATCAAGCTGCGCCCAGCGGAGCATTTTATTTTTTTTTATCTCGGAGGAAGTCCAGTGTAGGTGGTTGGTGCGTGTCGTCTGTTAAAGAGTCCAGTATTTCCTGGTATCTTGTTTAAGTGTTATTAACAGCGGACAGGACAAGAGCAAGATATAACTGTATGTTGTGTATGTTTAATATTTGGTGTTTTTGTTTAAAGAGACACAGTCATCGTACTGCTCAACCATTTAGAACGGATCAGGTTGCCATTGCCCTAACTAAATCCTGTTGAGTTGTCATTGTCCTTAATGGGCCCTGTTGAAATGCCATTGCCTGAACCCCATCCTGTTGAGTTGACATTGCCCTTACTCCATCCTGTTGAGTTGTCATTGCCCATATCCCACCCTGTTGAGTTGTCATTGCCCCATATCCCACCCTGTTGAGTTGTAATTGCCCCTACCCACCCTGTTAAGTTGACATTGCCCCTACCCGACCCTGTTGATTTACCATTGCCCCTACACCATTGTGTTGGGTTGTCATTGCCCTTACTCCATCCTGTTGAGTTGTCATTACCCCATATCCCATCCTGTTGAGTTGTCATTGCCCCTACCCCACCCTGTTGAGTTACCATTGCCCCTTCCCCACCCTGTTGAGTAGCCATTGTCCCTACCCTACCCTATTGAGTTGCCATTGCCCTTACCCTACCCCATCCTGTTGAGTTGGTCATTGCTCCTACTCCATCATGTTGGGTTATCATTGCCCCTATCCAACTCTGTTAAGTTGTCATTGCTCCTACCCCATCTTGTTGAGTTACTATTGCCCCTACCCCACTCTGTTGAGTTGCCACAGTGCATGGAGTCCAACATATAAAACGAAAAAAAGAAATGTAATATAAAGTTAACTTGCATGTTTCAAATTGTTCAATTATGAAATTAAGAAATAAGTCCACCCCAATGTACCTACATAGGAAAATAAAAAACAAATAAATGTGCTTGTAAAAAAATGCACTGGACAGTCGTATACGAGAAGAATATCGATTTTGAGTTGAAGGATAATTTGTAGGTTTAACAGTTGACATGGCAAACCTGATATTATAAAATGATCAAATTAGGTCTTTACGCGTAATGTATGTCTAGGTATTTACCTCAGTGATCATTACGCGTAATGAATGTCCAGTTATTTACCTAAATTATGATTAATAGCTCTCCTCTAGTGAGATGACCAAGTGGTTGATAATGATGTATACAACATCAATACAATGTTTATTTGAACAGAATCTGCCAGAGTTTTGAGCAAGTATTTGATATTCATGCATTCTATTTCAGAGTGAAAACAGGCTATTAGTGTGAATATAATAAATGAAATAATCTAAACACATTTTCCGTGTAGCACTGAGAATTAATAATTGAATACCACAATACATTGTATGTTGTGAAATCTTATACATAAAAACAGAATAAACATTATTTTCTTTTTATTTTCTCCTTGTAAAAACTATCAAAGTTTAAACTCATGATTTACGGTGCAACCTTTTAATGTTTTACTTGAGAAAATCGATTTTTTTTTCTTAAAACACTACTTGAAGCTTTATTAGAGAATTTTATTACAGTTTCTAACAGTTTCAGCAGGTGAAGCCTGCATATTTTTATCCTCATCATAACGGATCAATACTTACTATATATAACCTACTTCGAGTGGAGAGGAATTCTTACTTTTTGTAACCAAGTGGAAAGGATAAAGCAACGGAGCAGATGCACAACACTATCAAATCACGATTGAGTATGCTTCTTTGAACGGGGGGAATCAAACGCAATAACTGCTTGTATTTTTTCTAGCTTGATGTGTATTGATTGATTGTGGTCTGTTTTGTTCTGGATAGAAATGAAAATTATAAGCAGCTTCGTTGCTAGGATAAATATAACAACTTGAAATGCTTCATGAACTTCGATAAAAGAAAACAAAAGGCATCAAATTGGAACTGATAATTACAATAATTACAGCTATCACATAATGTGTATAGTAAACAATT